GCACTACATACATAGCGGGCCAGAAGTATTAACAAAAACACGCTAGAACCCCTAGACCCACAACAGCAAACCTCACTTCTTTAAATACCCATGTATCTTCCAATATGCGTCGATTTGGCACCTAAATTAGGGCAAATTGAAGGCACAAAGCAGAACTTTCACCAAAAATTCGACTTGCGTCGCTACGGCTTTCTTTCAAGGTTATATCAGACTCAATTGGCCACTAACCCGCCTGCCCGCCAAGCCTGGCAGCTCGAAAGGGCTCGATACCTCTTTCATGATATGTTTAGACCTGCAGCAGTGGATACCTGATAGGCTGCCACTCCGCTTGAAAGTATGGAGGTAAGTTAGGCGAATATAAGTATAGCTGGCTGTTTTATAGTCTGAATATTATTATAACACTTGTACCTTAATTTATTGTTTCAAGTTATGAGGGATCAGGGTAAATAAAATCATCCACCCCTCTATCCATCCACTGTAATTCGAACACGGGCTTCAGGAAGTCCTAAGAGATACGTATATGGTCACGTGATGCTGGATGGCTGCGTGTCTAAGTTAATCTTTAAGTCAGCCTTGCTGCTGATTTGGTTATTCCTGGGCTGAGAATTGACGTTATTGTGCAGTTGACAAGAGGCAGGATGTTTCACGTGGTTTTAAATTGACCCAATCATGTTATACCCTAGCTCATCTGAGAGGATAACTCTCACCCGCTCTCACCCAGCTTCTCACCCGCTCTCACCCAGCTTCTCACCCTGTCTATCACGCACTCACCCTATCCTCACCCGGGCGGCACCCACCCGACTATTAACTGTACTTTAGCCAAACGCCGGCAGGTCAGTACTATGGTGGGTGACCATAGAGCTGTTAACGATACGATATCGGCACTGTTTTCCCATATCGTCAATCGGCATCGTCAACTTCGAAGTCTGCCGATATCGTATCGGCAATCGCGATCGACAGTTTAAGAAATTGTCGATACGATATCGGCAAATTATATTATCGTCGGCGATATATCGCCACCGGTAATTGGACAATAAGAGAATATTTCCTGGTCCTAGATATAGAAGACTTTGCTATAAAGAGAATGTTAGCTTAGATACTCGTTAATTAGGGCAATTCGCTCCCGTTATGTAGTCCTACGTCGTGTTGTTGCCGTGCTATGTGGCTGGATATTTATATATTTTACGTTGCTCTGCCGTCATATCAACTAACTCTGTATCTGCAAAGTATATATCTAATCCTTTGTAAGTTGCTTCCATTCCTCTGCGCATACATATACATATATATATCTATGTTATAGGCTTCTCCGTCCCAGCATACCATCATATTACCTGTTCTATTCTATGGCTACGCTTTGCTTCTTCCATTATGCTATATGGCAGATTATCCAGAGGTCATAAGGGTTCAATCCTATTTTATGGTTCACCTCTATTTAGACGCGACGCGTCTGAAAGACTGGGACGCGTACCCCGACCTCTTCTTGGTTGACAGTGACCTGCTCTTCCAGACACTAACCAGCTCTATACATGACTCTTCAACCCTGGTTCTACTGAACCACTGGGCCCATATCAACAGCGAGCTGCGATCAGCAAGTCGTATTCATCCGCACTGCGCCAGTGGGCTGGTGTATCCAACACAAAATGCGTACGCGGCAGAAACGCCTCAACTACCGAGTTCTGAATGATGAGAGCGATGAAGAGTCTTTGCCTGAGGATCAAATTGACCAATCAAGCGAATCAAGCGAGCCACCGAGCAATCTCCCACGTACTCTCCCAACCTGTTAAAAAGATGTGGCAATCCTCTCCAACATACCAGATTGTGAGCTCCTACCTTCTGAGTCTGTGTCACAAGTGCTAGTATCGCAAGAGAGCCCAACAGATGCTGGTACTTCAATCACAAGCCACATATCCTCTTAATGGTGCAAACGACCAGCGCCGGCTACAGAGTGGATCTGGGGGTACTTCGAGACTACAGCTGTTGATTGTCCATAGGTTATCAAGAGGACCAACAAAAGACGGCTGGTCGACCGAAAGATTTGCTGTATCCATGTAGATAAAAAAACGGGAATACGCTGTGACTGGCATACGTCGGATTCCTAAAGGCAAAACACAACCAGCAATATGAAGATGTACTTGGCAAAGCATGGCATTTATTGCCCGACCTCCACTATACCGCCAGGGAAGAAAGGACCTGACATTCGGATTTTTATGGGTGGTAAACAGAGTCTTACTCATCAAGAGGTCTTGGAAATGAATGCCATTCGCTGGATTGTGACTGATATAAAAGCCTTCACTACTGTTGAGTCTCCAGAGTTTTAGCAGATGTTCCGAGATATTCCTGGGATTGAGCCTCCATTCACTTCTCGCCACACCTTGCGGGATTGAATCATGCAAGAGTTTGTCATATAGTGTACCAACCTGAAAAGTGAGCTGGCTTTGACTTGCAAAACCATTGCCTTATTACTGGACATCTGGACAAGCCAGAATAATCTTCCTATTTTAGGGATAATTGGTTATTGGCTGACTGGTGAATTTGAGTACTGCGAGAGATTACTCGAGTTCACTGAGCTCTAAGGTATTTATAGTGGCGAAAATCTGGCGATTGCAGTGGAAAATATGCTTATTGAGTTGAGTCTCGAGGATAAGCTTATTTCTATTACAGGCGACAACGCCAGTAATAATGAGTCTATGGCATCTGAGTTATACTTCTCTCTTTCTGACCGACCTAGGGTGGAAGACACTATGCCAGCACCACTCGATCGAGGTCTTGACAGCTATATCCGCTGCCTGGCTCATGTCCTCAATCTGATTGTGAAAGATATACTCCGTAAATTGGGGTCGGGGACGATGGAACAAGCGTAAGTTGCCTGTGACTGTTTGCGGACTAGTAATTTGATTACAGATCACTCAGCAATAGGGAGATTACGAGTCCTCGCTCTTTGGATTAACAGAAGTCCTCAGTGCCGACAGAAATGGAAGGAGATTTGTAGACTCAATAATCTTCCCGACAAATTTGTTGTATACGATGTTATGACACGATGGAACTCGACATTTCGCATGATCGATGATGGCTTAAAGTCAAGACAATAAGTCAACAAGTTCCTGAGCCTTCAGGAGGAGCTCCTACCTTTCACTCTCCAAGATTGGTCACGGCTGGAACAGATCTACAAAGTACTCCACAAGTTTAATGAGCTTACTTTGTTCATTTCGAAACGCAATCCACAAATCAGCCTTGCAGTTCCGATCTACTATGAGCTACACGAATTGCTTGATGACGTGACGGAGGGCAATGGTGACTTCACAACACTGGATTGAGATATCATAGCTGCAGTGAAAGAAGGAATGAAGAAATACAAAAAGTACTATTCTATTATGGATGACTGTGATACCTATTACACTGCCTTGTCTTGGATCCCCGAGTCAAAGGTGAAATGGTCTTACGGGAACTTTAAGATAGCAATGCCGGGACAATGATTCTGGAGACGATCCGCACCAATCTATATCAGGTCTACACAGCTAGTAAACCGGAGTATGATGCCGCTGTATCAAGATTGTCTTCCTTGCAGCATAGTGATGTGGAGTCTAGAATGCTGAAGAAGTTGCAGGCACGAGACCCACCGCTCTCAGATATTGATAAGTACTTTGACACCCCTCTGATCAGCGTCGCAGATACTACTGGCCAGAACTGGCTCTGCAATTGGTGGAAGATGCACAAGGGCGAGTATCCGCGGATGGCAGCAGCAGCCAGGGACTATCTAGCGATTCCAGCCTCTGAAGTTGCTGTTGAGAGAGTGTTTAGTATAGCGAGGGATGTGCTAGGCATCCGGAGATATTCTTTGAAAGGGGATACCATTAGAATGCTGATGTTGATTCGCGATGGGTATAAGTGGTAGCGGCCAGGGGTGGAGGTTGGTTAAATTAATATTCCGGTTCTGCATTCATAAACTGTCAAATAAAATTGCGTTCGCTCTTTAGATGATTCTAAAAGAGAATTGTGCCGATGCCGATACGATATCACGATATCGTGAGTGGCGATATCGTCAAGTTTGAAGCCTACCGATATCGTACCGGCAATCGGCATCGGCAAATTCAAAAGCAGCCGATATCGTATCGCCTGTCGATATCGTATCGTCAATATCGGTATATCGGCAATATCGTCAACAGCCCTAGGTGACCACATGCGAATCCCTGCTGTTGTATGTTTTCGCAGAAAGCTGGTGAGAGTGGGAGTGCAGCTGAAGAACCTCCTTTCTCCTTCAGACCAATCGGCTCCACTTCTAAGGTGTTCGAAGCACGGGACTTTCTCGGATCTCTTGGGATCTCCATTGCTAGAACTGTCAATATGCATATACAAGACCCGGATTAACTTGGATTGCCGTGCACACCCTGAAAAATAGTAGTTGTCTCAACATTGGGGTTTAGGCTTGACCGCTAGTTGTGGCCTTATCTCGACCCGATATAACTAGAACAAACCCCCATGGTAACGATTTGACCGGGATGTCAAATTTACTAGATCCGGTTGAAACTAATTAATTCGGCTTCCTTCACAATTGATAGTACAGTAATATAACCCTCAAGTCCAAGCTGATTCGAATGATGCGAAATGGGAGTGCCGAGAACACTACCGAGTCGACAGACATACCAGTATGTTACCGAATTCCAACCTACAAAACTCGGCATTTTTATCTAGAACCCCGTTATTACTTTTTTCTAGCGTCGGTGATGACCAGAGAAATAATCACATCTATTCATCACTAGATGCGCAAATTTTCGTAACACGCTAAACAACCCTTGAATTTTGGCAAGTTAAGCAGTGGCCGTAAAATAGTTCTTCAGACAATAATCAACCAATAGCCGAATGGTTCAATTGGCCCTGACGAGTATTAGTCGATATTGATATACGATCATCCAGTAATTCAATCTATACCCAGATGCTGACGAATACGTAAAAGGAATATTGGAAATGTCACATTGAATACCTAGTATGACTTGTGACTAACATTACTGACGAGGCTTGGTCTTCGATCCATCTAAGGCTTCTCCTGCCAGTGCTTCTACATCTATCAATGAACCACCAGCCTCTCTAGTCATCGCAGAGGGCATCCATCGCCTGGTCGACTCTGCTCCAGAAGATGTCCATTCTTCGATAGACGTTCCAGGTTGACCGACGAAATCTTTGGATTTTGCTGAATTATTCCAGAAATCATCCAGTGAGTTGACTGAATGCGACAATAATACACGGAATTGAGACCGCAGCTGAAACACCGACTTAAAAAGTACATCAGATTGACATCTATCACCTGTGGTATCATCGAAGTCCTGCAATTAAAACTCACAAAGGATTGGGAATATCCACCAGCTCTCATACTTAACGTCAGCCCCGCGATGCGGATAGACAGATACGTCAAGGGCAAACAGGGAATTTAGAAAGGAGAGTGTTAGCTGGTGATATATTAGCGTAATACGGGACGTCCTCGGGATAATAGCTTCGGGACTGGCTCGGGGTGATTATGGTGACTCACAAAGACAATGGTCACTATGATAAAAACCATGACTGATTTCGACTGTTCTGCCGCTTTTTTCGATTGCTCTCGTCCAGATTCGGCTTCCTGGAGACTGGCCTGCTTCTGTCGCAAGTCTAGCAGTCTATTAATCTATTCGTGCTTGATGTCAGCGATATATGATACTAGAGTGACTTCACAGCCACATGCTGAGGTTTGTACTTCATGAGCATTATGAAGCATGGCTTCAAGCCGGGCTTTCACTGTCGACAGAGCGAGCGTATGCTTGTGGGCAAAATGTGCCCCATTTTCTAGCTTCTCGATTTCAAAGGCTTGTTTCCATACTCCTTCCTGGGCCTCAACAAGAGATTTCAGATTATTGAGCTCGTCACAGATATTCTTTATGTCGTGAAGAACTTTAATCTCTTCCAATATGGAGATTTTAGTACTTTGAGCATCAGGTCGCTGCATGTTGCCATTCTTTGGCATTTCCAGGCTCTTCTTGAAATCTTTGAAAAGTTCGATCTCACAATTTATCTGTAGAGAGATTAGTGCTCCGTATTGATCGATGTTTAATTGTTCGTTAATAAATATACCGCTTCCCGAATAGACTCATCAAAGACATCCAGTATCCCCTTCAACCCGTTAGAAGCCCCTGAGCCTCCAGCTTCAAAATCAGTACCAAAGGGTTTGAAAAAAAAAAAAACTCTGACTAAAAGGATACATGGCATCATCAGTAAAGCTACAAAGTGCTGTGTAAAGCATACCGAACACTGAGGCTTCATGCGAAATGTCTGTTTACCAGTAGGCACTTCGATGAAGCTCCGGCTCAAGAAATTTACCAAAGGCCGGTATTCCTTATACGTCATCTTCACAGCACTTGAAAGGCGGGTTATGAGGTTCTATCGTTAGAAGTCAATATCCAAGATCTGTTCGAAACCGTCACACGCCGAGAGGGCGGAAAATGAGGATTTATTAACCTTCATGAGAGTCATCTATCAAAGTTTCAGTGGTAAACCTTGGAATATACCATTTCAATTCATGTTTGATCTTACATCATTCACTCCAGGTATATGGATCCAGCAGAACTGCAATGCCGTTTTGCCCACTCCCCCTTGCTTGTTTCTGAAGGCTTGTCGATTGTCACTGGCTTGTCTTTGCTTCCCTCGGATGGCGATTGAGCATCTCTGATACTCTCTTTGAGATGATTCAAATCCCAGTAATCATCAGCGAAGCTTTTAGACATGATTGAACGAGAATCGTCAAGATAAATGAGATCTGATATATTTGCCGATCTGTACTGAAAATCGATCTTTTTTGGCCTCCAGCGTGATAGAAGTCAAAGATTGTTCCACGCACAGCAATATTCTCCACAAATCTGGGAACTTTATGTTAAATTTCGATCGATGAGTCGTCAATTGGATTGTCTATGGGATCGATAACCGCAGGGGGGGTTATGTAAAAGTGCACGTATGACATCTACACTTCTTCCGAGCCCAATTTCTTCCTAAAGCTTCTTCTCGTCGAGGATCTTAAGGGGAATGCCAATTTCCTCTCTTCGAATATGACCACTATTTTATAAGAGCCACCAGACAATCCACTGCCACGTGGAGGGACGTTTCCAGCTCGGACTCGCCGGATGGATCGTTATCATCCCTGAACATTTTAAGTAGTAATTCCTTGAGGTTGTCTTCCCTTCCTGTTTGAGAGAGCTTAGCTGCAGCCTACAGAATCTGTTGATAAACTTCCTCATATTCCTTTATTTTTCTCGCACTATAATTTCGAAAATCACCGGCAAAAACCTTGAAAATACTCCAAAATATGCGTTCGATGTCTCTGTGGCTTGACTTCACGACAAGAGATAAGGGCGACTTTTTTCTTTCCAGCTGGGTATATTTGAGAATGCCGCGTGTCCAATAAACTAAGACACTTTCTTCCGAGTCACACTTCGCTAGGAACAAGACCAATCTCACGGCCTCAAGTCGTCCACTTTCGACTGCAAAATATAAATTGGTCTTTCCACCCTCCGCAACAGCCTCAATATTGAATTCATCTGAGTCCATGGAAATAAGTCTGTCCATTATCTCATTTTGACCATAATTTCTGGCAATGTGTAACCAGGTAGCTTTTTCTGGGCGCCAGTTCTTCAGACTGCTGTCACTGTCTCTTTCGAAGCAGGTCTCCATTAAATCGACGCAACCATTTATAACCGCCCAGAACATGATTGTGACCACGTAGTCCCTTGAATTGTATCTATCTTCTGCTATCATCTTTTTGATTGCCTCCGAGATCTGGGGTAATCCAGTGCTGTTAGCTGGAAGTACCCGCGAAGGAACGGGGCTTTGGGGCATGTTAGCTCTGTGACAAAGAAATTTCATCACTATGTTATTCCGATGCCTGAATGCTGCTTCAGATAGAGCAGTATCCCCCTCGTTGTCGTATTCTTTCAAATCGACATATTACTGTCTGTCTTAGTCCATTTCCAACCTGAATATTTGTTTGCGATTTCGATATTGAAGAAGAAAAGAAAGGCTACTGAGTTTTTCACTCACATTGGAAGAACTTCCAGGGCACCTTTAATCTTATAGCTCGCCACTCGCATGTTGGCAAGTGCTAAAGCACTACGTAGAAAGATTAGTCAACTGAGCTGAACATCCTGTTCACGCCCATAACTGGGCACGCCACTGATTGACCCGAATTATTGTGGATCAACGCCATGCATTCCATATGCAGGGGCCCAATTAAAAGCCACATGAGTCACTGCTAGCATGCTCTAGTACCCGGAAGTCTCACCACCGGGGCCTATGCATGGGACATCATGGGGAGACAAACATTTGAACAACGGATGCGAGATTGTTCAAAACAAAAAGAAGAGAATCATCAAATTATTATTTCCGTTGATGTGCTTGCGTGTTACTCTTTCTTCCAATTCCTGCTTGGGAGCCAATGACAATGTCACTTTCGAGGGCTATCCAGGCGGGACTATGCATTCAAAAATTCTCAAATTTGGGCAATCGAGATCTGCAAACTACAACTAGCGTTGGATTATCCACCTGTCTTGCATATGCAGCACGGATCAGAAAAAGTAAAAGCTACTGGTCGAGCAAGGCAGATTAGATCTGACCAGATCAGCTGCAACAATATGGGCTCGGAGTACTCCATAGTGGGAACTGTTTGCGTGGTTTACGGCCACGTCACGACGCTCGTCCGTGTTTCTGTACTAGTAGGAGCCAATAGCTTGATTGGAAACAAAGGCTAGATGACCTGTCAGAATGGTCAAACCACTTGAACAGACATGATGTGAGCGAGCGCCGAGACTACGGATACATCAAAAGCCCTTTATGGTTCATGCAGGCGGAATTCCTCTTTTTCTCAGTCAAGCTTCCCGGGGCCAACGTAATAGTGTTTATTCATTTTCAGATACTGTAATAATAATGTGCGTAACAGTGGTGGACGGCCCGAGCTGGTGTAAGTCAAAGATAGATTTTGGGTCTATGTTTTAGTCTAATTCAACTTGATTTCAACCCTCTGGCTCTAAGGGGGCCTCGGAATGATCCAGAGCCTAGCGCTTCCCGTCGGACGTCTATAAGTGGACGGCATTCGTTGTAGAACTACCGGCTACTACATATATATATTTCAAATGATGTAAACGCGGTAATCAATAGCTGAAAACAAAATATTTTTTCCGTCACTGGAGCACTACGATAATCATCACATTGGGTCCACTACACACTCAGATTCAATATAAGCATTCGGAGTGGCTAACCTGAATTTGTTAGAAAAGTGGCATCACGACGGACCCCCTACTCCCATCCGGTCGGCCCTCTCCCCAAACATGTAATTGTTAGTTATTCGCGGTCAACTTCATCTACTACGTATATTTTTCTACTATCTGAATTAATGTTCAATATATAAGCAATATTGAATGGTGGGCAAGTAACGAGCAAGTAATTATTTTCAAATCAGGGTAATTGTATTGCTAATCTGGAAAGCCTAAGTACAGCTTAAATATAATGCCTTTCAAGAGAGGACAGCTACCAGGCCAAGAATTATTGCCACACCCACTCCAAGCCATATCAAAAACCACCATAGCCACGCCAGAGTATTGCCGCTTTCCTTCTCATGTTTTTCGGCTAAGTCGGATTCAGCCTTTTCCTCTTGTGCAATGAGATCTTTTCGGATTTTATCGAAGTGCTGAGAGGTATCTTTGAGCTTTTCAGAAGAACCAATTGCGTTGTCGAGTACATTTTTCGCCTTTTCAAGGTTTATTATATGCTTTTCGTCTTTTTCAGAAGATCCCATTGCACCTTCTTTAGCTTCCATAATCAATTTCCCGATTTCCGTCAACAAGAAAAGGGCTCTGCTATCTTCCGAAGCAGCCAGTGCTTCTTTTATCTCTCTTTCCTCAATTGTAACCAGCTGAAGCTCCTGAAATCTGGCGTTGACCACATCAAATTCCTGCTCCGTCATTTCCTCCCTTTCGTTATGGAGCCTGTAAGACTTTATCATTCGCTCCAAAAGAAACAAAAGCTCCTCCATTGACTGATATCCTGTTGAGATATACAGGTCATTCAACCGTATTGAATCTTGGAGTTTTGAGATGAGATCTGTTGCTTTGCTCTTGTAGCCATTCAATATAGTTTCTTGTTTTTCACGGGCAAAAGCAAGTGCTGTCCACACTATTGCGAGTGATATGGATCCAGTGGCCCACCACAGTAATGGGGCGAATACATGTGCGCTGCTGCTGCCGATAGCTGCTGTAGCAAGAACAGCCAGGACTTGGATTCTCAGGTCATCCCTTCCACCATCAAATGATCGTTGATTCTCCTGAACCTGTGCTTCCCGATCTGATAACGAATCCTCCAGTGCAGAGTTGGAGGACTCAAGATTCTGGAACTCCTCATGATAGTTATCAAGTTGTAAGTCAATAAGCGCCTGGTCAATGCGGTGGATGATGAGACGCCCCTTGTCTTGGTCCAACAGATACCAAGGAGTGACATATCTGAGGAAATCATTGGTTTGTCTTTTTGTTCCAACTTCAGCAAAAATTCGTCGCATCCCATCTGGCCTCCGCGCTGCACGTTCAATTGCACATATTGCAGCTCCCGTCATTCCATGGCCACCTTTCGTATATCCCCTGATGTACTCAAGGAAAAGCGCCGCAGTGGAGGTTGCGATAGATGTAGCAACGGACGTGCCGGTCATGTACTTTTCCTCGTTATCTAGCCAAGTCGACTTAACAGTTTCGCCCAAAAATTTGTACCGGGAAAATACATCATCATCATTCTCATCGGGGTTAAACTTAGATCCCTCTCCTTCAAAATTCGCCGAAAATATACCAAACACCTTTGTTTCCATCGCTGGCCATGATATAGCTCTTGCGACGGCACCTCCATTGTTAGAAACAGCAGCAAAAATTAGCTTTTCTTTGTAGAGAGCTCTGTTAATCGCATCCATTAGCTCTTTGCTTGGTATTTTTGGGAACCCAAGAGATAATGATATGATGTCAACATCCCATTCGTCGACGGCGTGATTTAAAGCCTATTGGCGTCAGGTCTCAGTCAAAGGGAATTGGATATTAAAAGACAAACCTCGGTCAAAGCGCCCGTATTTAAATTTCCCTTCCGATCTACTACACCCCCTATGTAAATCTTCGCCCCTCGCGCCATGGAAATTATTGTGCCGCCGATATGAGTGCCGTGGCCTACAGGGTCAAAGTCATCCTCCAATCCTGTAAAGCTTTTGCATATCAGTCGGTTCGGATTCCATGAAGACGTTTGCCGAATTAGATTCTGAATTTTGGAGTTCTTGATGTTGATCCCACTATCAAGCACTGCGATTGTTACGCGTTGATCGTCTTTACTAGTACATATACTAGTATTCAAGTTGTCGCTTTTTTGTCGAACTTCACAAAGGCAAGCTTCAACACTCTGAAAATACCGCCAAAACCTGTCGCTCGTTTCACTTTAAATAGAACAATAATTAAAAAAATTCAGAAATTTCGATCGAAAAAAAAAAGGCTTCCATAAGCATGAGATGTTCGCTTACCTTTCAGATTCTTCATTTTGCTGCCGTTGCAGGCGTGCATCAGAGCAGTTAAATAACCCCCCTGAAAAATCCATATCTGCTCCCTCTTCTAAATCGAGCTTGTAAAGCGGAAATTGTCACTTATTTTATAGTCATAGATTGACTTCACTTCCAAATGCAGTGATGCCATTGCTTCATGGGTTAGCGATACGCCAACTCTATTTTTAGAATGAAGAGGCATGCTTTTGAAAAGCATGAATTATTCAGCTCCTATAATTAGAAAGAAAGAGGAGAAGAAGGGATATCTGTTGGTGGAGATTTCAAGTTGAGAAGTAGCAACGAAGCGCTGACCTAGGGGCGATGCGCCCGGGCCCAATGCTCTGCATGAGCGGCAAAATACCCTGATCCATTTGCTGAGATGCACAGTGGCTGTAAGAGGCAGTGTAGAACCTCCCGCGCGTGAGTATATATGGTAACTTTTGCTAGCCGTGCGCAGATGCCTGTTAGAGTGGTTTGCCAGGTATAATTAACACGGTCACCAGTAACAGCCAAGCCAATTTCATTCCACGCATCACTAAAAGAACATTACCGATCAACAAGCACGAGAATATGAGACCATCCTACTTCTTAATGCGAAACCAGGACTATGAGTTCAAGCCAGACGAACCTAATGGGTGGTTTAACCTTGGATCCATTTTGACCAACCCATTGGAGCCAGAGTCCCTATTGGAAGATTACTCAATTATCGCGCCTCGAGACTATATGGAGGTCAAACATATGCCTCAAGAAGACGTCAAAATCAAGTTCGAGGAACTCAGATCATCTAAGAACGGGATTTTCGCGAAATTTCTCGAACTTTTATCGGCCCCCTTAGGCCTCAACATTATGCACACCCAAGATAAAGCAATGACACATGCTGTCTCGCTGGAAAAGCTCGAGACATATTTCATGACACCAACAAAGTCATATCTTGATAGGGTTCTTCGCTCCCCAGCTGTGCAGAAGTATGTTCGTGAGCATCTTTACTGCAGCTGCCCATACATTGTGACAGGCCTCCGAGTTGCTATACATGGCAGTGGGTTTGATTTGAAAGAAAACTCTAAGAGAAGTGACCTTAATCTCTCTGTTGATGCTGCGGCCCCATTCGGAGGCCAGGGCTTGCTGAAATTTGGGCCGAGTGTCTGCCATGAGAATGGGCTAAAATGGTCAAAAAGTCATGGCAATTCGCATGGATATATTTATGCCTATCGTGTGGCTAAGATATATTTCTCAGTGCGCCAGAGCGCCCCTAAGCTGAGAAACCTCAAAGGCGAATTGCTTGGCGTGAATGAAGAGTTTCCTCAAGACTACCTGGAGGGGAATGAGGCGTATATGTACGAAGCTAGGATGCAGGAAGATGAATGGTTCCCGGCGACAGCTATCTCCTACCAGTTGGAAGATGAATATGGCGATATTAGGCTGTTTGTCCCCCCTCCGGCTTAGGTGTGGCGATGTATGAGTGGCTTGCAAGACAAGTAGTGTAGCGAGGGTAAAGCTGTGTCCCATTTTTCGAATAGTTCAAATTGGCTAGAGCCAGTTCATTCAAATTTTGATTTTCAGTTCAACCACTTGGTCATAAACTTTGGTTATATCGCGAAGCCCCTATCGTGGAAGTCTAAAGATGGCATAACCCTGGCACTGTTAGTGTAAAATTATAATATATTTGTGAACATAGTGGATTATCTTAGACTCCGAGTCATACCTCTATTGTACTTAGCCACTGACGTGTTTTACTAGCAAATCGGCCAGCAGGAAACACCATAGTAGTTAAGGCAATAATTTATTAATGAATATCTTAACAACCCTTATTGATTAATATAATCCTTTGGAAGGGTTATCATATTTGTACTAATTTCTTTTGTATTCCAAAGTTCTTGGATATCTCTTCACTAGTAGCTTCCAATTAGAATTCTATGGAGAAAGATACATATTTGTAGAATACTATTGAGCAAAAATACTAAGTGCAATTTTGGTATTCTTTATGAAATGTTACTTAAACTACTTGAGAAAAGAAGATCTTATTACTCTTACTATAGTTACTGAATAAAATTTTGAATAGCAAGAACTTCAAGTTCAACTGGTTGTTCAGATGTTTCATTCTAGATTTAGTATGCCATCCCTGTATTTTTGGCGCTGGCCGACTTGCTAGTAAATCACGCTAGTAATTTCAGTCTGACTAGGTACGTCGGTCTCATCATAATCTTACAAATGTAAGCTCGACTGTTGATAGATTCAAGTACGATCCAACCGTCTAATCAGTAATGGATGTAACGGCTTTTCTGATAAGAGCTTACGTCTGGAATTGAGTGATAGCAATCACCAGGAGGAATAAAAGTGTTAGGATGGCAGAATTTGATTTAGCTCAATGGCGGCTATCGTCCAGTATGTCTAGCAGGAATCAAAAGCAGGCCATAAATAATCTTATCCCATTGGCGAGTAGAATGGATTGCATCCTATTTCTTAGTGTGGTTCAGAAATGCCCCCCAAACACTAAATATAGTCCGGCCTGGCAGGAGTCTTTTTTGAGAAACCTTTTCCTCGTTCTAGCCCCTCTATTTTACATGTTACTTGGTAGACAAATTAACCTAGCGACCACAAAATTATACTAAATAAAACCAAATTCCCATTCCCATTCCCTTTACCAACATAACAGCAGGTTTCTAATTTCAAAGCGTGCCTTCAACTATCTCATAGTAACTGCGCACCAGAAACTGGACTCAGTCCAATTATAATTTTCTGAAATTTGATTGAGGAAAATTGATCGTAATCCATGATCGTACTAGTTATCATGGCTGAAATTTTATCGGATCTACAATCCAGACGAGAGGTTGACAACTACTACGAGTTTTATGGTTTCAGGTAGCCGGACGAAGCTAGAAACTCGACTATCCTCATAACCTGGGCAGGTTGTAAGTAATTTTCCAATCGTTCGAATATATGTAGGTATTAAGTAAATCCGACATGGCCTCTTCCGTTCATGTGGCGCCGGTGCTGTCTCGAAGGGCACCAGGCAGACCATCTACTCCCAAATGCAGCCGTCAATGAACATTAAAACTCGGCGATGTTCTTTTTTCCGTATACTGTTTTATTTTCTTTGGACTCAAAGTAGGCCGAAATGAATAGGTAATATTCTCATATACACAGCACACACAGCACTGTATCTTCCAATCAAGCTACATCAATCTATTCCCAGCAATATCTGATACATACGACCATAGGGTGTGGAGAACAGGGCTTCCCGTCCGCTCAGCCGTACTTAAGCCACACGCCGGCAGGTTAGTAGTATGGTGGGTGACCACATGCGAATCCCTGCTGTTGTATGTTTTTGTTCACCTGTTTTTTTTTTGATTCGTTGGGTTTTAGTCCATGCCGCCCTACCACTTCAATCCCTTCAGCCCTTCCTTCACTTCCAGAACGTACTGAAGCCCGTCGGCTAAACCTGCCGTATCTAAAATTCAGTTGTTACCAGTGAGATATACATTCCAGAGATATGTACTAAATACCACATTCCGCAAACACCCCTTACGTAAATTAATGAATCGACGCTGTTAGCTAAGGAATATAATATCTACGAAACATAGATTTTTTTTGGTCTGGTAACTATCAGGTTAACAATTCTTAAACCATACGTCTGGAATCATGAGGAACCTGACATGGCTATTAGCTTTTGCATCCATTGTATCCACTCGCAGCACTTATATTTCACCCCCAACGGCTATTACGCGCAACGGAACGATCCACGGTCTACAACTCCCCTTCTTCCAGCAGGATATCTTCCTTGGAATCCCTTATGCTCAAGCCCCGCGACTAGACAACCCTAAACCAATCAATACTACCTACGATCACGACAGTCCCTTTGACGCTTCTCGCTATGGAAATACATGCTACGGTTTCGGCTCCAACGAACTTCTGGGACTGACCCAAAGCGAGGATTGTTTGAATCTAAACATCGTCCGACCCTCTAGAGCGACAGGGGAGAAGAATACTAGCCCACTCCCTGTCCTATTCTGGATATACGGTGGAGGCCTGCATCAGGGTTCTTCCGCAGATCCAATGTGGAATCTATCATATATTGTGCAACGATCTGTTAAGGAACAACAGCCACTCATTGCTGTCAGTGTCAATTACCGTCTTTCTTTTCTCGGATTTCCAGGAGGGCATGAAGCTCTAAATGCTGGGGTAACAAACCTGGGGCTTAAGGACCAGCGACTGGCCTTGGCTTGGATCCAAGAAAATATAGTCGCATTTGGTGGTGATCCGTCCCGAGTGACAATCTGGGGCGAGTCTGCGGGCGGAGTCAGCGTTGTACAGCAGCTAGTCGCCTACGGAGGCCATGGTGGTTCTGAGTTATTTAGTGGTGCCATTGCAGTTAGTGGCTTTGCTACGGGTGCTGCTTTGCCCGAAGTAGAGAAGATGCAGGCTGGGTTTGATAAATTAGTGGCAGGGGCCAATTGTACGATGGCCGAGGATAAGCTTGACTGTCTTCGCAGGACCTCATTGTATAACCTGTATCCTGTTGAAGGAAGCATTGAAGGGGGCTGGGGTCCAGTGATAGATGGTGATTTTCTACGGAGACCTGCTGCTTGGGAGATTCAGGATGGGAATTGTGCTTATGTGCCTCTCCTTTTGGGCAGTAATTCGGATGAAGGTTTGATCAAAGTGACGGCGCCGGGCTACTTTCCCAACTGGACGAGTGAGGTTACAACTTTACTAGAGACTAACTTCCCTCGCCTGCAACGTTCAGTCATTGAGCAATTATTAGATCTCTATCCAGAAGACGGACAGGGAGAAGCGCCGCCGTACTCCCTTCCGCCAGACTTCGCCTGGTGCGAGGCCATGTACGCCGCCAATCTTCCCTGTGGCTCTCAATACCGCCGTGCTGCAGCCCTGCTTGGTGATTACGTTTCGCACGCACCCCGGCGCTATATGGCTCAGCTGTGGTCGAGACTGGGCTTGCCAACGTACAGCTTCCACTTTAAAGTGGCCACGACGGGGACCCCGATTCAATATTTCTACGGTTTGGGGCCTGGCTTTGCGAACCACGGAGCCGAGTTAGCGTATGAGATGGGATTGCCGGGAGGGTTCACTACGCCGATCCAGTTCTACCCACCTGTAAAAGATGTTCACGGTCACGTAGCCGTGTCGATGGAAATGAATCGAAGGTGGATTGCGTTTGTAGCCAGTAAGGATCCGAACGAGTCAAGAGGTATGTATGGATATACAATCTAGATTTGATTGTGGGAGTGATTGAAGAGGCTGTTAGGGCTAATGGTTTGAGAAGATCGAAATTCGACACTTACGTGGGGAGAGTACAACATATCTGCCTCGAACTTTGTTTTTGATGCTACCGACGAGGATCTCCGTTTACATATAGAGCCCGATGATTATCGTGAAACTGCATGTCAATTATGGACAGATAATGCCGCCGACACAGATTATTCTGGCCAAGGACCATAGGAGACTTAGCTTAAAATTCGAAGTACGGCAGAGCTAGCTAGTTATAAACCTGGGAGTTCGATAGGCAAAACCAGGCTCTATAATCACAAGATAATAAGAGAATAAATGTGGCTAAAAACAAAATCATACAACAGCAGTTCTATGTCTGTTTGTTTCTGATTTGTTGGGTTTAATGCCCGTTTGCACTGTAACCAAGGAGTCGTCCATTACGGTAGCTCGGGATACCAAATTGGTTCTGTCACTTAACGCAGTCTTTGACAAGAAATAATAAGTACTGTTGCTGAGTCTGTTTGGCTATGATGTTATTTATTATATCATCATAATTGATTAAAAGAAACTCGATCTATTTGGTCGTCATGGTAAAGATTACGTACGAAGCGACTGAGTGAATGTTAAGTGGCAGTAGTCAGGTGAGTTAAGGCTGGTAAAGAAGAGCGAAAACCATTGATTTTATCGCTTAAATCTATTTTACTACCTCCTTAGATCTTGCATTGCTGAAAAACCCGAATTCAACTTTTATATATTAATTTTGGCTCTTCAGGTGAGGGGCGGGCGCCAGATAGGGCGGCGGGCCGTCCAGGACAAATTCGGGGGCGCTAGGTGACCGCCGACATACAATATCTGTTGCATGTTTTGTTTTGTTTTTTTTTTCACTCCCTTTTTGGTATTCTTTTCCAAAAAGGAATGCTAGAGAGTTGACTGCCCGATACGTCTTCCTTGACTATGCATCCAACAACTGGGCAGAGCACTTCCGGGAAATGAGTCTTCCTGGCCGTGATGAATGGTTTCCACTATCCTTCGATCTGTTTGTCGTCGAGAGAGAGTGCTGCATGGACTGGGAAGTTGTTTTGTCTTCTATTCTGCATTATCTTCAACCAAACAGTCTTTATCTAGCGTCTTATTTGGGTCTTGAAAAAGCCGTCAGTAAGCTTATTGTTGAGTATGGGTTCGATGTCAACATCCCCACCACTGACGGCTCAGCACCACTTTACTTGGGTGTGCTTGCAAGTCATACAGAAATTGTGAAGCGTCTTCTGAAAATCTCTGGCATCAATGTTAACAAGTCAAATGACGATGGCTTTACGCCTTTTCTAGCTGCTATATATGAGCACTACCCCGAAACTATCAAGCTTCTGATCAACGCCAATGATATCGACGTGAACAAGTTGAATAACAGCGGATTTACGCCTCTTTCGCTAGCTATCTCAATGGGCTACACAGAGGCTGTTGGGCTACTTCTACACTCTCCCAATCTCGATGGGAAGATTGAAGTGGCGAATAGCAAATTTCAGTCGGGGCTTTTAATGGCTATATCAAAGGGCTGCACAGAGGTTGTTGAGCTACTTCTAAAAGCTCCTAGTCTTGATATTAGTATAGGTTTTGATGGGAGCCTCCCTTTGATCAATTCTATAGCTTCAGGGCATACTCATATCGTTGAGCTTCTCCTAAAAACTTGGGATATAGATGCCAATGAAAGGCATGCGAATGGTCGCACTGCTCTGGAATGGGCCATGTCACTGGACCATGAAGCCTCCGAAGTGCTGATCTCATGTTCTGATTCCATTCGGGATAATAAGCACAGCGAAAAAAATGCTGGGGATGTTCATATCTCGGATTTTACCACGCACAACGGCGATTCAAAAAATTGATTTAACATGAATTCATTCATTTTCGATCGGCTCATTTCCATTTCCTTGGCGAATAGTTCCAGTAGAGTAATATTGATCGAACTCGGAAACTTTGAGTTCTCGTCTTCACTAGGAAATCGTTTTGGACTTCAACCTCGGGAGTCATTGTTAAAGGAGAATGTTGTTGTCTGCATCTATTGACTAGGATCAAAGATACTTTCCGAATCCCCGGACTCAGTAGCAGGCAAAAACAGTATTGAAAATTTAAATGGCATGGAAAATAAATCCAACGGTTTCTCCGTCAGACCACAGTTAACTAAAATCCTACCTAGGTAGAATTCTAGGACTATACTGTTAGCGCTTTTTTTTTTTCGAGAAACCGTTGCCTCGTGCCAACTAACCCCTCTACTTCCAACTCCTACCTTAGTAGACAGACAAACGTAACGACCACAAAAGTCTACCAAAAAAATATAAAACCCAATTCCAATTGCCATCCCTAACAATCCCGAAACGCACATGGCAAACAACCCCGGATTCTCGGTCGCATGCATCATTCCCCAAAGCGTCGGCATGATCTCCCCGCCGAACCCCGCGAACTAACGCACATCAACCCCGCAACCGCCCACAACCACAGCCATAGAGTTAAGATACGTACAATACGGAGCAGAACAGAGCAGAACATACCCATAAGCTAAAGTTCAAAAGGAACTACGGAAGTAAAATAGCCATCCTACATACGACATAAATAGTAGATCCTCCCAAAAAGGCATGTATAGCAAAACGCTCAGACTAACCCAACCTAAAAAGAATTGGGTTTAGATTCAAGTTGCGGAGTGAAGTTACTGGCCACGTTTATGAAATCACATGTGGCCTCGGTTACGGCACGGTACCCGTAAAAGTCAAAGTCAAAGTCAATACCAAAACCATAATTAACTTTGCTCCCGCGTTAGTTCACCTTCTAGATCATGCTAACCACGCCACCTTCGCACCCTTTGTCCTCGAGTCCGTCATCAATATAATTCCGATGCCAACGCCAATGCCAACGCCAATGCAAGCCATAATATAGAGAGCGCCTCGTCTAGCCTCAACTTCACGACCGGAACTCGCCTATGAATAAATTGCATTGAAATTAGTAGCTGTGAGATTCAATTCAATTCCACGTGGGAAACGCAGCCGACAAAGGCTGGACGGCGATCTAAACTAAATGAAGCTAAGCTGGGAAGGCAGAGAAGGTTTTTTCTCTCGATTCTCTCATTCCAATGGCAGTAGGTACCACCCCAGTGGGATGAGCCCTGTGATCGGCGACCTCGGTCAAGGCAATGGCAATGGCAACGGCTTCAGGGAACATGCTTAGAATATCATCGTATAGTATCGTATACGGGTATAGCAATTGGTGCAGAAAGCGGGTTATCCCGTTAATAAATCGGATCAAAGATGGGGTATGGGGTATGGGGTACGGTATTGTCGATAGTGGCACGATTTCCATGGTCCCCGCTTCGGCTTGTGATCGGGTCTTGTATAGAGGGTCTGGGGTTGGGATGGCCCCGTTTTCTGCTCTATTCCCTGTGAGGTCAATGGTAGAGGTTCAAGTTTGGATGATCGACCAGGATCCGTAGATATTTGGAGGAATTAACTGGTTCGGTTACTAGAACCAAGTTGTTACTCCGTACTGAGCCGAGTTGTATGGGGAAGGAGGAGGTGCTTAGTTAGCTACGGTAGTAACTTGTCAGTTAGGAGTATTAGGGTAAGAATTACAATTGCTATTACTCTTGCTATTGCTTACTGTCTGCAAGGTACCTTGGCATTAATTTCCCCTTATTCTCTTGTCGGCATAACTCACCACCTATCGCCACAATTAACTCCGCCATATCCATATCCACAACATTCTCTGCATAACCTAGCAGAACCCTCCCTATAAGCCGCAAAACACTTACGCCCTACAAAGCTCCAATTTAATAGACTCCATCCAAGACCCTGCCAGCCGCGCACTCACCACACTAGCCAACCTCACGCATCACTAGCACCACTAGCCCGAAACCCGTTAAACAGTGGACCCAGCTAGAGATCCACCCCCTCCAATCCCGATCCGATCTAACGGTTAGTCCACCAATACTAACGCAAGGTACTTTTTTTTCCCACAGACAAGACGAGACGAGACGAAACGAGACAAGACGAGGCTGGAGCTGACGCAGGAACGGCCTTGTTACCCCGTTCGCCCACGAGGCCGGGTCTAAGACAGCCAGGACCAAGTGACCCTCCAGGGCTTTTCAAGGGTTGTTTCAGTTTCGTTGACTTCATGGCCCGTTTGTATTGCATTGTAGTGGTGCTCTCCACTTCACAGAGTCTGGATTTCTTGATGGGGGATCCTATATGTTTGGGGTCGGTGGGGTGGGTGGATTGGACGGATGGATGGAACTGGGGTGGTCTGCGAGATGTTCCAAGTAACATACTCCGTACTACTACTAGTACTACCTAGACGACTCCCCAGGCTCGGCGTAATCGCCAAGTTAACCTAGGACCTAAAGTAAGTTTAGTGTTCTCCTACTCCTACTCAGCCTCCGCGATTACGTTACAATGGGCCTTGTTCTCGTTGCTTTACGGAGTACCGATGGCACGCGATAGGGGTAAATTAGCCCCGTGGATTACCCGCGTGGGGAGGCTTTTATCTTGAACGTGCCTCTAGCTGTATTATAACTGATCCGTGCGGCGGGTCAAGATGCCGTGTTCGTTGTGTTTGAGATCGTCGAGACGGTCCAGTCGGTTGGGACGAGCTGGGACCACTTGGGCGATTGAGGGGGCTTGGGTTGAAATAGTTTCTCGGTTCTGTTCGGTGTGGACTCGAATACGACTGAGGATGATGTATGTAGTAGAGTACGCGTACATTCATTTGTACAGAAAGTAAAGTAAAGTAAAGTAGACACATTATGCCAATCGTAAATCCATATACATAGAATAGAACAGAATAGTCACACCGGCACCATTCAGTCACAGTCGCAGTCACAATCACCGTCACAGTCGTACGCCCAATTTTTTTTCCCGTAACTCCGAGACAAGAACAGGGGTGTTGGATGGGGATGGCACGCCAAGTTCGCCTCTTCTCCTCACCCGCGCCCCTAGACCCTTTTTCGTAAGATTTTCGAAAGAAAATTCTTAAGCCCAAAAAAGACGGGGTGCAAAAAAGAAAAAAAGAAAGAAAAAAAAAATTCCCATTTCAACGGCTATCGTGCATATCCCCTCGCAAATGTAGTCGAAGGATCCCAATCACGACCCCCAGCAGACGAACTAGGCGGTCGGGGACCGCTGAAACTCATAGAAGGACGCACATACCGCGCCTCTTGCCCGAAATGCACGTTCCGGTCATGCTCATCCCCGTCCTCACGGCGATCAAATGCCGGGCTTGTGACGGAGCTCCGGTTGTGGCCGTGGCCATAGCCGTGGGCGGAGCCGTAACTCTGGTGGTGGCCCATCATTTGGGCGGGGCTGGGCGACCGCATATTATACGCGGGCTGGTAAGGATTCTCGGGGCTCTTGACGGAGGTCGTGGTGAGCATTTCGAAGCCCTTGCTATCGTAGCGGTCTGCGTCTGCGGAGACGAAATCCGTGCGTCGATTGAAACCTCGTCGGCAGAGATCGAGCCAACCGGAGAACATGCTGGGTCGGGCGAAGAGGATGAAGTTCCAGAAGCCGACGAGGGAGAGTAGATACACTACTGCGAGAAGGGTTGCTTCGTTGGGGCCGAGGGAGGAGGCGTAGTGGATGCATTTGTTCTTGTTGCCGCCGGTCTCCATTAGGCACGTTAGCCAGGGGAGGGCCTTTTTCATGTTCGCGGGTGTGGGCTCGACTTCGCGGTCTAGGTCGATGAAGACGACTGCAAAGAAGATTACGTTTCCGATTATGATTAGGACGAGCGCGACGCCGCGCCATTGGAGTTGGAGGACGCGCTTGACGCGGCGGTACGCTTGGCGGGCGGTTTGCGTGCGCACGCTGGATGTGTATGATGGGATGCCGGAGCTGTTGTCCGTTGTTGAGGCGGATTTGTCGAAGAGCGAGCGCAGGTAGATGTGCATGCAGTAGGCCATAGTGGCAAGTTGGAGGATCAGGGCTGCGGCGCTGAAGGCGATTAGTGGATACCAGTAGTCCTGCTGGCCGTGTTTGATATTAATGTGGCAGATTTCGCCGAAGCGGAAGGAGACGCCTGTTATAATCATCATGATGGTGAGTCCGATGGCGGGGATGCCGAAGCCGCAGAGGAAGGCCCCCCCACATGAATTTGGGGCCGAGGACGAATTCCCAGCATACTTGTAGATGGAACGCGATTGTTCGGATAAAACTCCACATTACGACTAGCCAGCCGCCGAAGAGAAGGAATGCGCCTGAAAAGGCGCAGGAGAGGTCGGTGTACATGTCATTGGGGGTGATTGCGTTGTAGCATTGCTTGGGTTTGGCGCCGAGGGGAATAATGAAGGCAATCTGGGGTGGTTAGCGGGGCTTGGGTTTTCGTCTGGGAGATGAAGTCGAAATCTATAGCCTACCTCCATGCAGCAAATACCCAGCGTGAAGCAGATACTCAGATAGTGACGATTCGTCCATTTGACGGGAAGAACGGCATAAGAGACGAGAAGGAAGACACAAAGAGGGAGAATGGCGACACTGATCCAACTGGCGACATCGACCTTTTTCGCAGTATCTAGGTGATTGAGTCAGTACATGGTGTGCGAGGTGGTGCGATGCGATGCGATGCGGTGAGGGTACTGACTATCGGCATATCGCCAGTCGGCGAGCGGGCATGGCAAGCAGCAGGTGATATTCTGGACAGTCTCGCAGTATCGACCGTCGGTAAATCCACCGGTGGAAGGGAATAGTGACTCCTGTAGGAAAGGAGAGGGACAGAAACCATTCAGCGACATGGTTGAAGTAATGAGGGCAAGCCCAGCATGGATGGTAGCGCCCGCGCGACAACCTCACGCGGTGGCAGGTGGGTGGCAGATGATGGTTGAAAGGAGAAGAGAAGTGGGTAAACTGGGGTATACATCAGGAGTTATATCCCCTTGGCCTTACTCTCTGTGTAGACCATCCAGAACAATGGCTTGAGTGGATCTCGGCCCACGCGAACGCAGCTAGTGGGGCAGGCCACGGTCCTCGAGTCAATTCTGATGGACTTGGCGGGGGTTTCTTTCTCTGCTGGGTTAAGCGTATGGTACGGTACCAGAGTTTGATACCGTGTGAGTGTGGAAGCGAACTCCAGGGAGGGGCAAGTGGACGATCTGAGCCTTGTCGGTAGTGTTTGATCAGGGAGAGCAAAGATCAGCAGTTGGTCAGGATCATTAGCCGTAGCGCTCCTCTGTTCATGCCTCTGTTCATGCCGTTCCATGCCTTCGTGTTCCATGGTTGGTCTGAGTGTACACAGTATGGAATACTCCGTACAGAGGGTTCTCTTCTACTCTACTCTAGTATGCTTATGCAGGTACTCCATACGGAATGGATGTATGAATGTGTATGTACACGGTGGCGGGACTCGGAGATATCTTTGATCTGCCATTGTCCCATTCGAATTTCTGATTTCTTTTTGATTTCTGCTTTGTCCACACTAGCCTATCTGGGACTAGTGTGATCCAGACCCAAAAGACCAAGTCACGAGATGAGCTGGTCACGTTAGTGTACCAGTACTAACAGTACTAACAGTATACTAACAGTATACTAACAGTACTTGGTTAGCCCCATCTACTAACACCAATCCATTAACTACTCCGTTCTCATTTATTATTATACTTGCATAGCCACCGTTAACCCTTCCTGTTTTTATTCCAGTTCCTGTCCTGTCACTGTCCCTGTCCTGTCCTGTTCCTGTCCTGTCCCGGTGTCGTCTGCACCCTGTCAATCATACCTGTACCACCTATACTAGCGCATTTCAATGTGATCCAACCCGTCGCCTCCTCGGCGAACCCGATCCCAACATCCAACACTCCCTTCAATTCGCCATTTCCTGCACCATCAGTCCACCGCAGTGCACCCACAGTCCACCGACATCAACCCTAGCTCTCCCGCAGCACACTGGCCACACCTTCAATCCTGCGCGACGATCTTCGCGCCAATCTACCCAATCACCACCCACAATCCATCTCCAGCTGTGATCGCCCCCGGCATTCGTTCTACCCCTAACCAATCACAATCCCCGCGGACCTTTTCTGACATTTGACATGTCTCTCGATCATCTATTTCATCTCATCCCAGCCCGGGCCCAGACTCACTCATCGCGGGGTTCTCTAAAAGACAGACCCTGGCTGGCTTAGTGGCTCGATTTCCCCTCATCTGACTAACCAGATCCCGTGCTTACACAGTCAGCCTTTTGATAAGCGTTAGCCCATCATAGCCTGTATTCCAAGACTCAACCACCTTCCTTGCTTTTTTTCTACCATTTTACTTTCATCATCAGATCCAATCCGAAGCAACGTCGACATCTTTCACGACCGAGTGATCATGGGGGGGAAATTACGATCGTGCCTGGCGGTTCTGTAGCTCTTCAATAGTCCATTCACACAAATCTGACATGCGGCACGGGACTCTCTTTCGCCAGATCTGTCGGCAGATTTCAAATGACCCCCAGAATATCAAGATCTCGATCCCGATTTAGCATTCCTGAGCGAAGGCTTTCTTTCGGACAAGGCCGTGCCTCCGGAGCCGAAGAACTTGAAGAGATCCAATCATCCATGAGAATGTCAATTTCTATTGTTTGTGAACGTTTCTTGCTTTTAAAAGTATCCTGGTAGTCGCGCATTGCACTTAAACTGCGGACTACTAGTAATCAACGGCCGGTCGGTACCACGGTAAATATGTCGCAAGTACCAGAAGGGACAGCCACCAATATTGATTGCTCAACTCGTTCAAACAAACCCTAATCTCCAAGGCTTTCTTTAAAATGCTGCTAAAAATAGCTTGGACTTAGTAGATAGAATCTGTTTAGCCTTTGAAAGTCACCGCCGTGATTTCCTTCCATGGCAATTCTGATTTTGCCCCCCTAATCTTTGTTCTGCCCCTCAACAATTCTGAAGCTTAGAACTTTGAATTATAAAAGCGTAGGGTGATTTTTACTATTGTTATGGTGCTGGTGCTTTTGTCGGATGGCATCCATTTAGGCATTCACGCCTACACCTAAACCTGTATCTAGTTTCTTTGGTTCCTTATATTTCTTCTTCTTCTTCTTCTCCTCCTCCTCCTCCCCCTCAATCTGATTACTTTCGCTTTTTGATACAAAATGTTCTAATCTACAGGTCTTTCTGGCGTTGTGCCTGAGCTCCTCACAACCTGGTCAGGTGATCAAGTATCACAGTGGCTCACCTGGGCAGTTTGTCATATTTTTCCTAGCTTATAGAAATTCCTTGCACTCTTGCCTGTCGATTGTCTTTTTTATCGTCTCCAGTTAGGACGTCCCTGTTTTCTGTTTCGATTCCCACTCATTCGCTTGAGCATCGTTGTGTGCTTTGTCAATCTTAGCCATCTTCCTGGCCTCTTCTGTTCGCCGATTATACTTGTAGTGGTGGCCGCTCCGGCACGTCCATCTACCAATTATCTTCTTAAAAAGGTTACTCGGATCCAATGGAAGAAGTAGAACTAGTAATTTAGTTTCATTTGAGCCTTTGCATTTGCATTACGGTATAGGAAAACCCATCTGCGGGACGCAATCAGGGGAAAAACCTGTACCAAGACCAGAGTTCGTGAACCGGTGTTTTAAATATATCACTATAGCCCAGATCCATTAACCTTTTTTTCGCATTCCTGGGGGCAATCGTTCGTTGTGAGAACCGTTAATATGTTGCTTAAAAAGGCCAAATCACACGGCGCGGCCAGGAGCCGTCGATTGAAATGCGCACGGCCTCCTTTGAAGCTCTCAATCGGTCCCGGAGTTTGTACCTCGAGCAGACTATGTAACCCTGTCCCACTTTTGTCTTTCGGTATAGAATCCTTCGGGGAAGAGCTGCAAGTGTGGTCGGTGTTTTCTGAGCGGTGCGGGGATTCGACCTCACCCCACATCTCCTTCGGGTTATACTGCGGTAGATCCATAAGCTCAGTCCAGCTTGCATCATGGGGACACGGCTCTCTATAAAAGATTCCACCGATCTTAAATTTCCGGAGAAGAAAACAAATTAATTTTCATTTCATCTCTGACAATTCACCACGATGCGGCTCTTGAAACAATGGCTGTTTGCCCTGCTCGTCTGCTTGGCGAACGGTCAATCATTCGATCCCAATAATGTGAAATCACCAAATCAATTCGATCTGGCACATGTGGGCACCAATAAATCAACGGGTCTGACGTACTCAAATCCTATTATGACGACCAACGCTGGAGACCCGTGAGTCAATATGGTCTTCTAAATCAGTATACTATGTCAGCTTGCTGATTATGATGCTTAGGTTCATGGTGCACCATGATGGGTGGTATCTATTCACATATTCGACCAACGATAATATCACTCTAAAGCGCTCTCGCTCTTTAACCGACAATTGGGACATGGCGGAAACGAAACTTCTCTTCAAGCCCGATCCTGAAAGTGGTGACCCATGGAGCACCGATGTAAGTCTAATCAAACCCTAATTGGTCTGCGTCGTCGTATTTCAATTTAAATCTAATACAACTCTCAGCTCTGGGCTCCAGAAATTCATCAGATCGACAACCACTGGTATATTATTTTCAGCGCGACTCCAGATGCGGACTCACCTCATCCACTTCAGGACGCCATGTGCCCATTCGAATGTCCCGCCGTTAACCACCGAATGTTTGTGCTAGAGAGTGACGGATCGGATCCCTGGTCCTCAAGCTATTCTATGAAGGGAATGTTGAATACCTTTGATCAGTTCGCTATTGATGGCACCTACTTCCGATACAACCACCAGCTGTATCACATCTATAGCTGCTGGGAGGATACATATAGTGCCTGGCCCGCAAACCTGTGCATTACTCATCTTAGTAGCCCTTGGAATGTCTCCTCAAGCCTCACGCAAAGACGCATGATTTCAGTCCCCGATGAGCCATGGGAACAAGTGCCCTTCGGACGAGCTGGCCGACTTGCAACAAATGAAGGCCCCCAGCAACTAACCAACCCGAAGACAGGACAGAACTTCGTTGTCTATTCAGCTGCTCGGGTCAACACTCCATTCTACTGTCTTGGCATGTTGGAGCTCGTGGGTGATGATCCTATGGAATATCAAAATTGGAGAAAGCATCGCGATGGCTGTGTCTTCCATCAGAACCCTGATGCCGAGGTGTATGGTACAGGTCACGCAAGCTACACAACTAGCCCAGATGGAACGGAGAGCTATGTGGTCTATCATGCACAGACAACGGATGATCCTACACGTGAGTATTTCTATCCGCCTACAATTAGCGTCAGCCGATTTTCATTTAGGGGGGAAATTGCTAACCTTCACATTAGCGGATCTTTACCGTACCGTGCGCACGCAGAAGTTCACTTGGAATGAAGATGGAACGCCGAATTTCCCCAAAGCTCTGAATGGTCCTTTCCCGGTGCCCAAGGGTCAGAATTAACTGTGAAATGAAGCACTGGAGTACCGGCCCATTTGGCCCCAAATCATGAAACGCTAGTTAGTGATACTAATTATGACCTGGGGCTGTATGTGCGCATCCATGGCCCCCGGGGGCCCCTTAGCTACTAATAATATGTAGACCCTGGGGCCCCAATGAAATAAATGACGTACTACCTATGGCACATGCAATACATATAAGTTCCTGTTGTCTGTTCTAATCTCAAAAAGTTTCAAGTTTAGCATCACTATTTTTTCTCTCCTACTATTATTCAAATCCCGAGGTCCTCGCGATATTAACTGTTCGCCAAAAGCAATCGACATCATGAAGCTACTTGGCATCCTTTTTCTTGCAACTGTAACTGTCGCCTCTCCACGGTTATTCGGTGGCGGTGGCACCCACTGCTTGGGCGGTATGGCAACTATCAAGTCCCAATCTTGCTGCTCCGAACTAATGCTCTACTAACAGTCGATGACGGATGCACCCTGAATCCGGGCGATGGGGTTCCGGGTTGCTGCGACTCTACGTGTCGGTGGTTCTGTGACCAAAATAACCTATGTGGCTACAAGTGCAGACCGGATTGAGACGCTTGAAGGGTGTAACGAGTCACATGTTTGATGTATAGCCGTCTAGACATCTATTGTTGAGGCATATGCCTCAGGAATATCCAGATCGACTTGTATCAGTATACCTTTTTTGTCTCTTCAATCCACACACCCTTCAGGATCCTTCGTTCACTATCCACTGCAGCTGTCCTCTTCATGTATGATCTAGTTACCGCGTGTACCTAGTATATGCACCCCCTCCCCTTGTTTCTCTTCATCCTTGGCATTATATTTGAGTGCCCAGGTGCTACTACATATTGTCATATTGAAGTCCGTCGTTTCTGGGCTCGTCACAACGGTTGGAACAGTGATTTCTGGCTGCCGGATGCCGGATGTTTATGTACTTATGTGTCTTTAGCCTGCGAGACCTTTCGAAGAAGGGCCAGGAACTTCAAGTTGAAAAAAGTTTCAAGTGTTCAAATTAAATATCCTCAATTAATTTGTCGTTGGATGATTCCCCATTCACTAGATAACTACCGGTTAGTAGTAGTCTTGGCCGTGGGGATAATCTATTTAGCCATGCGGAGGTGCAGCCGCGTTGACTTCATTTTAGCCGGGACGGATAAAGCAGCCCGGCGGGATGACTGCTCGAATGGCATTAAATACCACGCCAATGGTACCTCCAAGGCAAATCCTCGGCTTTTCGTGAAAGGCATTACTACGAACAGGTGTATTTGGTACCCCTTCTCCACGAAAGAACTCAGAATGGCACCCAATCCACTTATTACCCACCTCTACACTGCCGATCCATCGGCCCACACCTTCAACAACAGATTATACATTTACCCCTCTCACGACCGCGAAACTGACATCGCATTCAACGACAATGGCGACCAATACGACATGACTGACTATCATGTCTTCTCCATGGACTCGATTGACGGACCCGTTACCGACCATGGAGTCGTTCTCACCGCGAAGGATGTGCCCTGGGTCTCCAAGCAGATGTGGGCGCCGGACGCAGCCGCCAAAAACGGGAAATATTATCTATTTTTCCCGGCCAGGGATAAGGAGGGTATTTTCCGAATCGGCGTTGCGGTAGCTGATGCGCCAGAGGGACCCTTCGTTCCCAAGGAAGATTTTATTCAGGGGAGTTACAGTATCGATCCAGCTTCGTTTGTCGACGAGGACGGGCAGGCGTATCTGTATTTTGGCGGGATATGGGGTGGTCAGCTTCAATGCTGGACCGAATCTGGGAACGGTCTTGTCTTTGATGCTTCGAAGACCGGCCCACATGAACCATCCGGGGAGGGCGTGGTGGCTTTATCGCCGCGTGTTGCGCAGTTGAGTGACGATATGCTCACTTTTGTCGCCCCGCCTCGTGATTTGCAGATCCTTGCGCCGGAGACTGGAAAACCTATTCTAGCCGATGATCATGAGAGGAGATTCTTCGAGGCGGCTTGGATGCATCGTTATGGTGGGAAATATTATTTCTCGTACTCGACCGGAGACTCGCATTATCTGGTCTATGCGACGGGAGATTCGCCGTTTGGTCCCTTCACGTATCAAGGGCGGATTCTGGAGCCTGTGCTTGGATGGACGACGCATCATTCGATTGTTGAGTTCCGTGGGAAATGGTATTTGTTCTATCATGATTGCGAGTTATCCAAGGGTGTCGATCATTTGCGCTCTGTGAAGGTTCGCGAAATTGTTTATGACGATGAAGGGAAAATCAGTTTGGCTTGAGTGTGTTGATTAGCCGTGCTAGATTATTGCGAAACGCAATTTAGAAGAAGATATCAACGTATCAAAACAATCGGAAAACATTAAGTATTGGAGTAAATAACACAGCAAAACGCTCCCTATATCTTCTAGTGAGCCATCCCCTTTTCCCAATTATCCTGGACAATCTTCCAATACCTCTCCTGACTGCGAATACGGAACGATTTCCCAAACTTAATCATCACAAGGAAAACCAAGGCACACGCAAGTCCGGCAAAAGCAGCAGATATAAAGCAATTCTGATAGCCCATGTTCTGAATCCAAGGAGTAATTCTAGGACCGATTAGTCAAACATCCTTTATTGAGCAGAAGGAGAGCATACCCATATCCAATCGCGAATGACATTGTATTTCGCACCAAAATAACTGTGGTCATGGCCACCCCACTCAGTTCACGGTAGCTGTCAACCATGTAATTGACACTCAAGGTAATACCGCTGGTATTTGTGAAGGCAAGCATGCACATCGCGACGATCAGGCCAAACCAATGAATTTCGTGCGCAGCACCGACACCCCAGAGGAGCAGGGAGCCTGGAACAAGAATTAAGTTGGCAGCAAAAGGCCACAGTCGGTGCTCTGCTTCCATCACGCCACCGTTCCGACGGGCTAACTTTATAGTCAGCCAGTCACTAAAGCGGCCGGTAAAGATAGAGCTAGACAAGTTAGTATTGGCTATTGTGATGTTTTGGTCATTGCTCACCCCAAAGCCACCCCAAGACAGCAGGCGACGTAGCTCAGACCGACCATAGATGATCTACTCTTTATTAGTCTTGGTTACTTCATGGACTCGGATACCTTCGACTTACTTGAAGTTGTAAGGTGGACTACTCAGAATGACTGAAGCAGTTCCGTTTAGAATATTGAATAAAACAAGATAGGATCCATATGAGAAACTTGTCGAGAATTAGTAACCTGCAATGACATGAAGGTATAGAAGAGAAGAGTATACCCAGAATAGAAAATGACTGGCCATGACAGATAGTATAGACTCTGCCATATTTGTCGAAACATGGTGTTCTGCTCTTGTTTCGGGCCCAAGAGAGACAACTTTTTGATGTATGATTTCTTCGCGTAGACAGCACCAACTTCCAAAGTCGGGGAAGGCTCTTTCGAGACTGGGATTCCCTTTTCATTGTCTTCGACGGTTGAGCTGTCATGAGAGGAACCGAGCCGAACATTGGCAACGGTGGGGTCTACAACCTGTTCGCGGACGTAATTCGTTTCTTCCATGAAAAAGAAGAGAAAGACCATCGCGAAGGCGATAAAGATACTAGGCCAGTAGAAGACCCAGCGCCAGCCTTGATATTCGGCGATGAAACCGCAAATCACGGGCGCGAAGTAGTTGCTGCCTGCCAAGAAGAAGGCATACAGGCCCATGTATGTACCGCGTTCGTGTGTAAAGTACTGGGATTATTAGTTACCGGGTATAATTCGATGATATTGAGGGAAGAACTTACCACATCGGTTACGCTGATCTCGGGTAGAGCTTCAATTGGTGCTGTAAAAAAGCCTTGAAGAATGTTTCGAGCGATCCATTGGCCCTTGGTACCAGAATAGGGTCTAGACGGATTAGTAGAAATTCTATTCTCTTCTGGAATGAGTGTAGTCACTTACCCCCACATAGTCATAGCCTGTTTTATATCAGCTCCATCTTTTTTCATTTCATTTTTTAAACTTGAACAAGACTCACCAGAATCCCCACCATTGACAAGAGGTATGTCAACCGCTTTCCAAAGTGCATTGCAAAGGGTTGCCAGAACAGCAAGCCCCACCCGGCCAGCAAAAATAAGTATCCTGTGCCTTCATTGAGGGTGCTGACAGGGAGCCCCGTTGCCTCGGAGAGGGGTATAATGACAGAATAAACGACCGAAGTTGCGATACCAGCAAATAATGTATAGCTAATAAGAAGGTCATCAGTCTGATTTTCAGGATATGTCTGGATGAGTGGGAAAATTCTACTCACGTGCTGACACAAATAGTAGATAGAAGCTTTCTTCTTGGACTCCAGTTGAGAGGGTCATCCGGATCGTTCGAAGGTGCTGGAATCAAGACGATGTCCGAATCACCTCGAGCGTGACGTGTGTTCAAGACATGCTGAACATCAACTAATGTCACCGTCCCCGGGATGGCAGAGCTGTCTATCACCGGTGCCATGGAGGGCAGTTGAGATGCAGTTTTCTTTCCTTTGGGTGATCGGAATGCGTTCTATCCAGGAAGTGAGGAAGGGATAGATAGAAGTAGAAAAGGAGAAATAGGCGTCCCACTTCGTAAAAAAGCAAAACCACCATAGGGATTCCTCAACCTCACAAGGCGATAGCGGCTACCTGTTTTGCCGAAGCAAGCTTGGGCGATAGTGCTAATGCTCAAAGAAAGTCTGTTGGAGCCAGAATACGGAATGGTCCCGCCACCGCCGGGTCTTTGGGGCGCGGTAAGGGGACCAGACCTGCCACTGCCGTCAATGTGGGGTTGACCCTCGATAGCATCAAGTGGAGCTGCAAGTTTCCCCGCACATTCATGCGGCGATCATTTCCTCGGCAATCTCCTGTTGCTTGATGTGGTGGTTTTTATTACTCATAGAACTCGACAGATAATTATATCTTAGCAAGCAATGTGTCCGGACGAAAGGGATATGCTAACTTGAAGTTCTATGAGGACACAACGTCATAGTTATAGGTACATACAACTTGAAATATACTACTGTAGAGACTAGCTGCATAAGCAAGATAGACAATCATGAGATAAGAGCTAGGATTCCGAAACCTTGGAGTTTTTCCAAGTCCGAGTCTAGATTTGAGAGCTCTTGCAGCGATGAGGTCTGTGACTTCCAACTCATAGGAGTAAGTCACTTGCCACAAGAGGTAGGTTACCTAGCGCTCAAACAAAGAAACGTAAATGCTTATCGGTGCCCAATTCTGTCTCCGGGGATAGTCATTCGTCAATTGGGCCCGACTACCCGGCTGGTGCAGGTCAAAGCACCCGAACCGGCGGACACGAATCCGCTACCCCAACTCTTATCACCGCCTGCTATTGGCTTTCCGTCAAAAGGCTGGTACAGGCATGTATTTCAACAAAGAGAATAACCCTCAAGTGGCGGTCCGGATTAGACAGCCCACGTTCCCGGTCAATCTAGACAGGATCTATTTTAGAATAAAAATCATCATAGCCGACTGTGTTTATGTGCAAGGTTCAATGATAATTGCATTTCGCTGCCTTAGTGATATAGAAAATTCACCTCACTCTTTTCACGCGCAAGTCGTGACAAATGGTCAATTTAAACGTCCAATTCGTTCAATTGATTCTCTATCTGATATGGGCCCCACCGATGTAGTGTCTTGAAGAAATGAGGGGTTGTTTCACTGGCGAGTGTCGGGTCGAGAAGTGCTCGGCAAATATTTGAGCTGTCATAGGCTAGTGATATAAGTGCCCGACTCGAGAGGTTAGTATGGTCGAATCTTGACCGGGTATTTACATGATGGTGCTTCATGACCAGTTGATTCCTGAGACATGATATTCCTTTCTTCACAACACCTTCTACAGAAAAAAACTTGTCTCGGCGAAACAAAGGTTCGGATTTTTGTTTGAATATCTCAATCACAGTACCATAGGGTCATGGGAAGAGGAACTCAGGCCTAGTAGACTGTGCGCGTACTACATTTTTGTAGTAACTAGAATCGCGCCTTTTACAAGCCACCGTGACCATATCGGCTTTCTACCGATCGTATAGTGCACCCCTCATATTAATTGCGGAAGCGACTATTATACTTTTCTTTTCTACTTTAACGGGATTCATTAATTATTGTTTCCTCCATTCTCGAGAAACTTTGACCGTCTAGAGGATTTGAAAGGGTTTGAAAACTAGGTGTTGTCAAATCTCATAATCGGATTTCTTTCTGCCAGAAAGGTTAATTTGATATTGGAGAAAGGAGGGGGGGGCAAATGGGTGGCCCAGGGAGGCCCTGACTAAATAAGATACAATAGTCCATCTAGGAAGAAAGGAAAAGGCCAATCACATCAATATTGACTAAAGAATGAAACATGTACTCAATCGTCGCTTTTGTAGGATGAGGCACTAGGTACACTGAACATGTGTTACACATCAGTATGACTTCCATGGAATTTTTTTTTCAAGCCTCGGCGGTCTCTTTGAGTCTGTCGGAGTCTCATGATGTCTTTCCGAGCGGTTTTCTAACTAGTCTGGCTGTGAAGATGAGATATGCTGAGAGGCACACTTTGAACGACAAAAGCATGAGATCAAAAGGACTCGGACCCGAGAAATATAACTTGCCCAGGTGGGAAACTACAGTAGCGCCCCACATCGCCTTCTATAACAGGGACATAAAGATGCTCTCCAAAAATTTCAACCCTAATCACACTATGCGTAGAAAACAACACGTTTTGTGCATAGTTACTAGTGATAATACTAGATTCCTTTCTACGGATTGTAAGAGAGACATATTCTAAGGGACTAACCCATACCTAGGTAGAGGTTCACTAGCATTCATACTCATGAAGCTGGGAAAAGCTGTTAGTATTATCGTTCTATTATTATATATAATCTTGAAACATGCGTTGAAATATACGGGATCATTAGGACCGAAATATGTACAGGTAGTCTAAAACCAGCAGTCAGCAGGTAATAACCACCGCGAGATATTTAATCTTCGAGATTCATCAGCTTACATCGCCATTAGACTTCCCGTTGAGACCTTGAGTGTAACAGCAAACCTACATATGGTAGCAAAATGTCAGTTTGGGTATTCCATAAAAGATATACCAAGAAAAAGTCGTATAATCGAAACCCAATAGTCACGTACATCATCGGGGAAATAGATCCCGTCTGGGCCAGAGTCGTCTAAATTAGCGCCTGCGGCAAAGCTTGGACCAAAGTTTGCGGCAAGAAGTTAATGAGCATGAAAAGACGCATGGTGAAAGAATTGATAAATTATCTAGCTAGGCAAGCGTAGAAAAAGCCTTGAGTTAGAGATGATTGAGAAAAGTGGAATCAGGGGTATGCATATATTTGTACCTTAGTAGTGAGTAGTCCATGAATAGTAAACAAAAGCAAACATAAACTCTAATGCAACAATTCAATATGCTCATAATAGGCTGTACTTTTTTCTCCGCACTAAGATCATAGTGTAGCACCAAGGGACTAGTAATCTCATGCGCCCTAGACCACATTGAACCCATCCACTTGAAGTGCGGAGCCAATGAAAGCTACTTGACAACATCTTCACATTCTCCTGCCTGATGCCAAATTTACGACCAATACCGCCCAACAATCATTTATCTTATCATAATACCCGTAAAAAGCAAAGTTCACTCCGCATATTTAACCCTTCGCTGTATGAACTAGTGGGGTAACTATTGGCAGGGACTAAGTGTAATAGTGCGGCTGACAGATCGGCCCACTACGGTCACAGCCGAACACCCTCAAGATTTCAACTGCCGTGAATCGTCCGTGCGGATCGGTAGTAAAGGCACTCCAAAAGAAATGATCTAGCGCCGAGTGAAAAAAGGAAGCGATTTGATCAAGACCAATTATGCCGTGGCTAGTAAATATTGCTCTGTCCTTGAATCTGGTCGTGGAGTGTTCTATAAGACGAATTAGATGCAGATTTGTTCGAATTTATAGCCAAAATTCAATACAGTGCACGAACACGGTCCTTTAGGGGGAATTCTGATGGAATATTACTACTAGTATGTATCAACTGGATAGTATTATGGAGTCACGGGACCGGCCAGGAGTACAATATCAGAATAGCACAGTCTCGTCCCAAAACAGAAATAGCTATACAACACTCTCCAAATTGTTGCAACTTAGTCCAACGAACTGAAAAAATTTGGGTGATCATTTTTCATTCAAAAAAAAAACCTAGCTTCATTAAGAAAGATAGTCGTGGAAGCAAAGGGGAACAAAAAGAAATTCCTGGGCCCTCGAGTCGAACGGGGATCACTGTTGCAGCACTCGAAGTCTGGGAAGGGCACTACTGTTTATGCTAATCCGGGCAGATTTGAAAGTATGGGCCAATTTACTCTCATGACCGAGCAAATGGCGAGTGTTATAGTGTGGAAGTGATGGTTTGGTTCCAGGGTTTGGTTCCAAGGTTTGGTCATGATGTAGGCTCGACGTGCCTTGGGGCTCGACTTTAGGGTGAATCTACAAGAAACGAGTAAAATGTAGAAAGTATCATTTTGAACTTTGATGGAATGTGCAAGCAAACACTGATCGCAAATTCAGGCCTTGTCAAATAACAACCAAACCAATTAGTCCTGATGCCTGATGTGAATAATCAATGCTGAACCGAGCCTATACTGTACAGATCGCCAAATCACAGATTGCGCGCGAGGCAGTTCAGCGGAACCTGCCGGGTACTTGGGAGGGAAAGAGGAAATGAGATAAAAGAAACAGATCGAGAGATGAAATGGCTGTGAGCCGGAACCCATTCACCATGCTTAGTGGGACGATCCTGCAACGTCGTCGTCATTTGGCAGCTCTGCGATAACATCCTTGATGAGCTGGATCAACTCCCCGATATCTGGACGTTCCGAAGGCTCAACCTGGAGACACTTGCGGACGAGTTCCTTGACAGGGGCACTGATAGCTGCATTGTCGGCCTTGGATGTATCTTCGCCGTCGGCGTTGCCGGCTTTGCCCTTGCCCTTGGTGGCAGTGGACTTCTCGTCTGGGAATCGCCAGTCACCACCAAGAACACACATGCTGAGACTACCGCCAGTCTCTTCACTGCGGGCCTCGAAGGGGCTCTTTCCGACGAGACAGGCATACAGAGTGCAACCCAGTGACCAGATATCGACCTTGGTGTCGATGATCGATCCGGTCTTCACGTCGAAGAGCTCCGGAGCTCGGTACGGCATTGTGCTGTGTTCCGCGGCAGTATCCTGCACTGCTAGCGCTAAGGATCGGGATGTGATAGCAATCGGGCTAGGAGCCAAGGAGCCGAGATCCATGAGGATGGGTGATTGACCATCATCGTCAATCATAATGTTACCTACAATCGCATTGTTAGCCTCCTAGCAACGCCGGTGATGTCATTGTAGGACCTAATCCATAACTTACCAGGCTTGATGTCGCGGTGCGCATAGGGGCGCAAGCCGCCATCTTGTACACCCTCCTGACTCTGCGTGACCTCGTC